CCCCAAAACCCCAAAACCCCAAAACCCCAAAACCCCGAATTTATATTATAAAATTGAAAAAATTAAGTTTTATAAGATGACATCGAAAATGAAATTGGGCAATTTGGCTCTCTTACCTAAGAAGAAGCCAAAGAAGAAGGTTGCCAAGGAAAATCCAAGAATCCAGAGAGAATTATTTGTATTAATTTTTTCCTAATCTATAGCAACGTAAAAATATTGCTAAACCATTTACGTTTACTGGCAAGTCTGAAGTCCCCATAACCGGCATTGCTCCAACTGGTTATGCAGGAGGTGGCCTTGGTGGTCCAGGAGTTAACGCTGATAATGTCAGAGAATTCCTCACAGAACTAGATGCCTTTGAAAAAGAATTTGGCTATGGTAAATAAGGAAGAGACAGAAGGGATTTCATCCCTGAAGAATATTCATAAACCATTCTATGGCTTAGTTCCTAATGATCCTAAATAAAAAGTTTTACTATGGAGTCAAGAATGAGAAGTACTATGGATATGCCCAGCCCAAAATTCCAGAGAATAACCGAGGAGAAGTCATCGATGGGATTTTCTACCCTCTGGATGAAGGTTCTCTCTCAAACGGGTACTACCAAAGACAGATGGCAGGCAATGAAGGTAAAAATTTTCAGGCTCCAAGGGTTAAAGCAAATAACGAAAGACCAGAGGATGAAAAGCTAGACCCTCGGATAATAGAAACTGCTAATATGATCCTGCAACAACAAGAGAAAATGAAGCAAAGAGTGAGAGACAAATATCGTAAGAATAATGTAGCATTCCGTAAAAAGCATGAAACAGTGGTAAGTCATCTTTCTGCTCTTTCTAATTCTTGTAGCAAAAATAACATCGAACTTGAGCAAGTGTTCGATACGATTGAAGAACAACAAAACATGATCATTGACTTGGTGAATAATGTAGTCACTGATAGGGAAAGGGAACTCAAGAAGAGAAATGCAATGCTGCGAATGAGAATAGAAAATCTAGAAAGATCCATAACTCTTGAGGAAGCACAGAGACAAGAGATGATGCAAAACTTTCCCATGGTGCCGATCCTGAAGAATCCTCAAAAGAAAGTTCATTATGAAGATGACTCGGATGATAGTGATGATTCTGATGAAGACGATGATGACTCTGATGATGATCAAGATGATGATTCGGATTCAGATTCTGAGTCTGACAGTAGGCTAGCATAAGAATAACATTTTAGTGGAAAACTATGTTCCTAAATTCCATACTCCTCGCGGAAACTCAATTGCTTATGCTCCTCCAGCTGCTAATTACAACCATCGTGCTCCTATGTATCCTGGGAATAAATCTCACAGGTTAGTGATGAGAGAGAAAGTTTTGCAACCAAAAGAAAGGGCTGAACTGCGGAGACAGAAGAAGCAGGAAAAACAAAGAATGTTTGCATTCAACCAAGCTGAAAACGAGAAAATTGAAAACAAGAGTGCTGTCTATAATGAGCTCCGCCGGTTATATCCTCAAGGGGATTTGGCAAAGACAAGAGAAGAGAGAAACTTTCGTAAAAATACTCCTGTAGAAAATATCAATAGGGAACAAGTACAAAGACGAGAAGACCTATATCCCAAGATTAAAGGAGTCCCAAGGGTACCCTTCAGACCTTCTCATGTTTCAAACCCTGATGGAGATGGCAGTTCAGATAGCAGCTCTACTCATCAAGAGACAACTGGGTCAATAGCAGCTTCAAATAAAGAGGATTGGACAAAGGAATAATTTAGCAAAGTTAACTATTTCAACTTAAATTCATATTTTTGGGGTTTTGGGGTTTTGGGGTTTTGGGGTTTTGGGG